ACTACTCCCTAATTTCTCCAACAACTTTTTGCAACTTGCAGCGACCTTAATTGCTGCAAGACAGGGTCGAGTCGTTGGTGGTAAAACGCGTAACATCGCTCTTCAACCCGTTTTACAGTAGCCTGCAGAACAGGTGTTAATTTCAGACGTGCGAAGACAAGCGCGAAGCGAGCGAGGAATGCCTTCCCCCGTCGCGCGTTTCTCATGTCTCGCGCTCCTCGCTCGCTTCTCGCTTGCTTTAGCTCACCTGAAAAACGCGAAAAAATAACGCCTCTTTTGCAGGCTAGTTTTGCAGCAATGATACAAAACAAGTTGCCCGTTTTTGTTGCTCCTCTTTCCAAGAGTGACCATCATCAACTTTCTCCCAACAATATCATTGGATAGTTAAGAGAGAGGTTATGAGAATTACCGTATTTATTCGAATAAGCGCCCAACCTCGAATTAGCGCCCACCTCGAATAAGCGCCCATCCTAAAGGCCGAAAAAGGTAATAAGCGCCCACTATCAAGGTCCAAAAATTTAATGAGCACCCAGGGCGGTTAATCGAATAAATACGGTAACAAAATTTTTTTCAAAGACATGATTTGTACAATCTTAAAGAGGTCTTGAAATTTACTAGTCGTGTTGAAAAGTCCAGTCCTTGTATTCAGTTGAGGTCGTTGAAAAGTACTTAATTTCTTTATTAGGTCTTGAAAAGTCCATGAAATTTACAACCTTTGGCTTGTCTACGCCAGACACCTTTTTCTGTCAAACTAATTAGATTATTTTGCCGAGGAAAGTTTGGCTCATCCTCGGTGTAAGAACCTGTAAAGCTCACAGAGTCAGTCGTGCATGAACAATATTTTATTTCCGTTTCTTTATTTCAAATGCTATTTCTATACCTCAGATGCAATTGCATGTCATACCCAGTCATTTTGCCAAGTCTTGTTGCGGAAACTAGTGTAAAATTATGTGATGAACGATGGCCGAAGAAGTGATCCAACGGGTTAAAGAATGCAGATTTATTGAATAAAGCTTAGTCCTTGAACACTGTAATTTGTCCTTGAAATATCCTTGAAACCACTTTGTCTGAAGTTGTACGAACCAAAATGCCTTGATCTTTTATCAATTTCTCTCCTAATTCTCTAGGGAAATATATGGAGATCAGTCTGAAGAATTTGTATGTGAATATTGGGGCTTAGAGGGTTAATTGCAATATCAACTGCTTTTTTGCAGTGACCGTGATGAACACTATGTGGAATGTGCAGTACAGACCCATTGGTAATGAGCCTGTCATCTCCTTTGGCTCAGGAGTCACTTGGGACTGATAATCAAGTGACGCTCAATAAAGCGTATAGAGTTAAATCAAGAATTGTGTGTGTTATAGATGATTTGACCATTATACGTTTCTGGGAAACTCCCAACCTACTCCTCCCCTAACCCAACATAACACTTGATTCTCACTTAGGGCAAAATGTTGGCTTAGGGGAGGGGTAGGTGGGCAGTTTCCCAGAAACTTATAATGATCCGTTTCTGGGAAACTGCCCACCTACTCCTCCCCTAACCCAACATAACACTTGATTCTCACTTAGGGCAAAATGTTGGCTTAGGGGAGGGGTAGGTGGGCAGTTTCCCAGAAACTTATAATGATCCGTTTCTGGGAAACTGCCCACCTACCCCTCCCCTAACCCGACGTAACACTTACTTCTCACTTGCGGCAAAATGTTGGCTTAGGGGGCCCAAGTCAGGTCATATTTTGTGGCTTTAATAATGCTCCCTACGGTGTAAATTGACACTTGAAAGAAGTCCCACTTCAACCCGACCTAATCTGAAATACCAATGTCTCCTCAGTCTCACTCACTGACCAATCAGAAACAAAGAAAAGGGCAACCTCGTTTCTAGAGTAGGAGAAAATCCTGGAATGAGATTGAGAAGAACACTAGTAATATTAAACTCGCTACTTTTTTTCCTACCAAAAGAGCGCATTCTTTTGGAGCTAAATAACCGCGGGGCATTTTTGAATCGCTCAATGAAAATTACCGTGTTTCTCGGCTGAGAAGAGGGGCGCTTAATCGAGGGGTGGGGGGTATTCCTTCCAACGAATAGAGTGTTTTCACATGACGTCACGACGGCCATATTGGTGTTCTAAAACAATAAAACGGCGGCCATGTTGGTGTTTCAAACCAATCCTGTGGGATTTGACTCTTTTGTTATGAAAACACTTTCTTTTGTTCCAATAAATTTGCATAGATGCTGGCCACGTAAGTGAAAACGCTCTGTTGTTATCATGTTTTGGTTAAAACTACAGCAATATCCACGTAAACGTTAAGTCGATGTCAGTGTCTTTCGTTTGTGAAAACAGTGGTTGGTAATCAAGCGTACTATATTAGGGACTGGTCAAAAAGTATGGGGGTGGATCGGAGCAGAGAGGGGGTGGGTCATCAGGTTTTGAGCCTTGTGCAAGGGGTGGGTCGTGCAATCTTCAGCTACCCTTAAGGGGTGGGTCACCCTATTTTATTACATAGATAGGCACTAACTACTAATGAGACAGTTGACCACACTTGTTACATAAATCACAGCTAGCTGGAATTATTGCTAAAATACTCACAAACCTGTTGTGTGAGAAAATGCAAGGGGTGACAGGCCGCACATCCATACCGCCGTGAAACCCTTTGTTAACCTTTTTTTGGCTCTAACGAGCATGCGCTTTAATGATTTTCCTTTCTTGTAAGGAAATGATAGGTGGTTCTTTAAAAATTTATTGAAGTTATGGTTTGTTTTGTATAAGATTCCACTTTTTCATTCAACTTCCTTTATAGTAGACACTGAGGGTTGGTATTGTGTCACGAATGGCAATATCTCTTTTTCATCCTTGTTGTTTTGTTTTAGGAGTTTAGATTCCCTTTTTGTGAATTTTATTTCTGATAGTAGGTTTTCTATAAAAGTTTGTGGGTAACCTTTGTCAAGGCGTTTTTTGGGGGGGAAATTTGAATTGGATTATTAAGAGGAAACCAAACACCCATGTTTTGATACTAGGGGGTGGGTTATGAAATTTACAACCTTGCTTTAGGGGTGGGTTAGTCATTTTTGTGCCGAAGGGAGGGGGTGGGCCATGTGTTTTTTATCAACCACATTTCCAAATGCTCCCCCCTATACTTTTTGACCAGTCCCTTACACACATGTATTGCTAAGCATGTTTATAAAATATTGCTTATCTCATTATCATCATTAACTATCCATTATCTCATCAATAAAGTGGTGATAGAAACAGGTTTCTATTACCACTTGGGTAATATTCTCTCTATTTTTAGAGAGTCCAGTTCGTTCAGAAAAATATTGTGATCGATAATGTCGAAACCCTTCGTAAAGTCAGCATAGAAAATCCGTGCAGAGCAATTTCCTAAGTCCACTGCTTCGTGAATTGCTTGTTTGAGGTAAATCAGCGCATGGGTAGTAGAATGGTCATGGCGGGCATATTGTCTTGGTTCCATATCACTGCTTAACTGTTCCAATAATCTTCTGTGTGAAAACGCCTCAAGTACCTTTGCTAAGCAACTGGTTAATGAGATAGGCCTCATGTCTGACGTAATATCCTGGGAACAGGCGTATAAATTAAAATAATGACAATAGATTTAAAGGGTGGGGAACAAATCCTTCTCTCAGTGACTGAGACAAACACCCTGTCGCAAGCTCTAAGATAGTAGCCTGCGTAGCTGGTGGGATCAGCGGGATTGCTGTAGCTTTTACGCCGCCAAAAATAGACCTTATTCACGATTCACGCCATCTTTGCACGCGCTAAAAGACTGATGGGAAAAAAGCAACGTCACGTGGTTTCTCAGGGGGCAAACAAATGAGAAAAGCTGTCAATAGAGAGATTAAGATTCACGTTTACTGCAAACGGCAAACGTCAGACTCAAGTTGAGAATTTCTAAGTATAGAAAATAAACAGACAAAAACAGTCCCGAACGATTCCTATGGTTAAAACTGGCATAAAACAACTTGTTTTTGTTTAGAAGCAATAAAGAGAAAACGGAAAATAAGGGGAAAACTTTGTCACGTGGTACAAATTCACGTCTGCCGTTTGGCGTAAACGTAAATCTTAATCTCTGTAATACAAGAAATCTCGGTCGAGTTTGTTTACTCTAAACAACAGAAAATAAAGAACTTTTCATTATAAAGACGATAATGACAAATTATGGGTAGAAGTAAACATCGTTACTTCTTTGGATGCTGTAGCAACCGTAGATGTCCTCTCAGCAAACAATAATGACGTAAATCTTGTCGAAACTCCAAATGTACCTTTTGCTAGTCTATTCAATCGTCGTCTTGTTTTAATAGCATAAACAAACTCGACGGCGGTTTCTTGCATTGGCAGCTTTTATCATTATTTTGTTTGCCCCCTGAAAAACCACGCGACATTGCTTTTTTCCCATCTTGCTTTCTTCCCATCAGTCCTTTAACGCGTGCAAAGATGGCGGATTAAGAATGTACCCCCAGCACAAGAATCCCGCCAGCTAAAGCAGGCTAACAAGATAGCAATGCAGAGACCCGTGAAAACGCAAAGAGCGAGAAGGCACTTTTTTACCGCCACCGCCCCATTCCCCAGATCGCGTGCGTCTTATATTGTTTTTTTTTATCAGGCTACCTGTTTCACGGAATATATAATAATTTTACTTACAGTATCAGGAGCCGTAATTATAATTTTACAGTATTTTTTTTTAATTTTTTACAGTATTTATTGTTTTATTTACAGTATTTATTGGAACAGACACATGACTTTCCCCAGAAAAGGACCCTCCAGTGATTTTCGCACCAAACCATTTTTCTAATATATCTAGAAGTGAACATATCGTCTACATAGACGTGTTCCCTGAACTGAGATCTTTGATTTTGACGGTATAAAACGCGTCCGTGTATACAAAAAGGGACTGACTTGAGTGAAAAAAAAAACAGTTCAGTGCTGGTTTTTCTTAATGTGCTGGTTGAATTATTTGCATCTCTATCGCTCTTTGTGGCTGATTGTTTTCTCGATTTCTTAAATGGAGAATTTCCAAAAAAGCTTGGCGAAATTTCTTCATGCGCCAACAGTAAATAACTGGATTGCACAGGGAACTCAACATTATTAACGTTGCCACCCAGCTCGCCAGGCAGTTTAAAACAGGCCGTTGTAGATTCACAGAATAATACATTATACTGGATACTATCATTGGCAGGTATGTTACAATTAATGTAATAAGGATGATTCCAAGGGTTTTGGCCGCTCGGTTGTTTCTTCTGATTGTTGCAATTTCTTCTACGCTTAAATGCTCAGTCTGAGATCTTTGTTGGCACCGGACTTCCAAGAAAATGTAGAAGTAAATTGCTACGATGACAATTATAGAAATCAAACCTAAAATGTTGAGCGTTACGACCGATACGTTCCAATAAACACTGTAAATGTTTGTGTCACTGTTTATTGCAGCAAGGATGCTATCTTGAATTGCCACAACTATCGTTGAAGCCCACGCTAAAAGCACAGCGACTGTTACCCGTCGTGTTGTGACAATCTCTCGATACCTTAACGGTTTTTTAATAGCAATGTACCTATCAACAGTTATTAGTAGAAGATGAGACAAGGTCGCGAAGATATGCCATCCTAAGGATAAAATGCTTACTCTTTCCAAAGCTCCACAAAATGTGCCAGTTTTCCGTAGTCGCTCCACTTCTACCGCTATTCGTATCGGCTGTCCCAGCAGTCCTGTCAAAAGATCCGCCCCGGCCAGGCACGCCAGAAGGATTGTCGCTTTATTTCGCAACTGTCCTCTTGTTGCGACAGCAAAGATCACCAGAGCATTCAACAACACAGTTGGTAAAACTGAGATGGAATTAATGCTGATTATAGCAACCAGATGGTTGTAGGTACCTTCTGTCAGCAGGAACTCATCTCGCCATGCCACTTCCTCCAAATAAGGACATTCCTCTGATTCGTAAAATCCGTTGGACGTAGAATTATTCGACATGTTATTTTACGTTATGTAGTGGTGCTTGGTACAGAGACTCAGGAAAAGACGCGACGCAGACAAACTCAAGGCGGTTTTGAATCACAATTTTCCATCCTTTTCATTTCAAAATGCTTCCTCTCCAATATTACAAAAGAAGGCTTAAATTTCATTGGTTGGTTACGTACTTAAATAATTTCCATTTTTGAAAGGGCCACTAAGCTGCTAGGGCGTCCGGAAGACTAAGTATCATCTGTCGACTGTTTTTTAGCGTTATTTATTGTTTAATCAGTCAGAGAGATTAATTGATTAAGACTGCTTAAGCTAATGAATGGCTATTTTTAGTAAAAAGGTGTTTGTTTTAAGTTCGATATGTATTCCTTCCGTCTCCCAGAAGAATCCGCCTTATTTTGCTAAGCAACGCTTAGTTGTGTCCTAATTAAAGGGTCGATTTTCTTTGATCGATGTGCCAACAGCTCATAGGAAATGACGCTTTCTAAAGACGAATCAGATGCAGATCTATCCTCATTTTCAAAAATTCACGGAAATGTATCTCACCTTATACCGTGGGTTTGTCCGGCGTCGGCAAATTAAATTGCCATGTTTTTTTTTTGTTGCTAGTTTTGTTTCGTTAAAACTTGACCTGCATGATTAAAGTGTACAAAATATACACTCCAAGTTTACTGTAACAGTCCCTAGTTTGGACTTTTTGCCAAAAAGAAGAAGAGGTGGTTTGTTTCGCTATCTTGAAGGTCATGTTAGGCCCTGTTCAGACGCCGAACTTTTCATGAGCCGAACATAATTCGAATGAAGGAGGACCCAGATTTAGACCGGATGAATTGATTCAGACGCCGTTCTTAATTACAGTTGAACTAAGTTCAAAAGGGGAAAAATGCTAATTTCGGTCGAACTGCTTATAAAATAGGTTATAATAATTTATGCATATGGTCGGTACATGAAAAGTTCGGCGTCTGAATCAAAGCAATGCCGAAGTCGCACCAAAGGCGAAATTCTTGGCTGGGCTTGGCGAGAAGAACGGCTGAGCAGTTTCAAATTGAAACAGGCGTTCCTAATTGATTCAGACGCCGAAATTTTCATGTACTTAATTCAGTGTATTATTTTCGGCTCATGAAAAGTTCGGTGTCTGAACCGGGACTTAAGACGCACTAACATTAGAGAGACTTAGAAACGCGTTTACGGCAAACGGCCAACGTCAATTTCTACCACGTGCCAGATTTTCTAACTTCCTCTCAAGGGCTTTACTGTTCGTTATCTCTACAAAAAAAAAAAAAAAAAGAAAAAAATCAGGAAGCCAGGGAGCTGGGGTAGAAAACCAGAGCCGGAACACAAACCAAAACCCACTACAACAAGCCCCAACGCGCTACCGCCGACTCACACGTGCCCTCACTCACGCCCCCCTCCCCACCCAACCCCCAAGTCACAGTTCTAT